CTACGCTTGTGGCCTACTATGGGCTTTACCAAGAAGGCAGGGCATGGAAAGCCTGGAGTTGCAAGGGACACGCCCCCTCAGTGTACCAAGGTGAAGAGAACCAGGCCTGGAGACCCAGGGAGGACTTTGGTTTGGGGGCTGTTTCATCAAAAGATACCCATTCAATAACTTGTCTGGAGGCCAAACCACACTGCTTTCCTGCAGAGACTGAGCTACCCAACAAAGTCATATTCTACAGAAAGAATTATTGGGGCAATAGAATCTTTAGCATTATGAACCTCCCTGTCTTTGTTTTTCTACAATAATGTCTCCAAAGGAAGCCAGATCCTGGACTCTACATCAGCACAAAATCTGATGGGAGCAAAAAGGCTGACACTTTCAGTATGAAGGTCTTGCACAGAGAGAACAGTAAGAAGGAAGGGAGAATGAACACCTACCATGTCTGCAGCAGCCACACTTCAGGCCTGCTGACATCCAATGGAATAGAGACATTTTTTATAATAGAGAAATTTACCCCAGTGTCCTTCAATAAGAGACATGATAAATCAAATATGGTGCATCACACACAATGGAATACAGGACTCTGAGTGGTTAAAAAAGAACGAAGTTCTTTATAAACTGATATGAGAAGATCTCCAAGATATTTTCTTAAATGAAATAATAGCAAATAATGGCAAGGTGCCAAACACTGTTTATATTATGCTGCCTTTAATGCAAGAAAAGGATAAAAATTATAACATATATTTAGGTTGGCTTGACTTTGAATAAGGAACAAAGAATTTTTAAAAGTGGTTGCAGGGCAATAAGTTATGGAGTAGATTTTCACTGTGAACTTTCAGTTACGTTAATTTTTAAAATACGTGTATTCACAATATTAATAAAATACAGTAACACAAAACTCTATAAAACAAAATAAAATTAAATAAATAAATAATAACTATCATTTATTTAAGATCTACTCTATAATGAGCATTTATCTAGGACTATATCTCATTTAAACCTTAAAACAAATCAGCAAGGAAAATACTATTATCTCCATTTTATAGGTGAGAAAACTGAGTGCTTTTTTTAAAAAAATATATCTTTATTGATTTAATTGAGAGGAAAGGAGAGGGATAGAGAGATAGAAACATCAGTGATGAGAGAGTCATTGATCGGCTGCCTCCTGCATACCCCAGACTGGGGATCCAGCCCGCAACCAGGGCATGTGCCCTGACCAGGAATCGAACCTGGGTCTATGCCCAATTGCTGAGCCAAGTGCGGCCGCGCAGAAAACTGAGTTCTTGAGAGAGGTTAAACAATTTACCCAAGATTACACAGCTAGTAATTTTCATAGCCAGAGGGCCAAAGATCACATAGGTAGTTGTGTCAAATCCTGGTGACCATATAGTTGGTCAAGGACCAAGATAAGTGACTTCCAAGTTCTCTTCTAGCTCTATCATTCTATGATTCAAAGTGTTTAATCTGCAAAGAATGTTATGATGTATGTACAGGAGTGGGCAAAAGTAAGTTTATAGTTGTGAGTACATGAGAGTTTATTATTAATTTATTTATTATGCTATTATTTATTTGTATTTGTCTTCTTATTGTTGTTATTTTGTACCCTTACTGATGATTTACCTTTTAGGTAACAATGGCTGGTAATTAAACCTACTTTTGCCCATCTCTGTGTATTTGTGTTTAATTCAAGTAATACATCCTGGCTAACAACAAAAAGGCAGTTGAATGCAATATTTACTTTGAATGTGAAACATAGCTTTAATTTTAAAAAAGTCATAGGGATTCTTACTATATATTTACAGTTTTATACATGTTCTTTATATATTTATCTATATTTTTACTATTGTTTCCATATACTTGGGAAGATGTTACTTTATAACCATTATGTCAATTTCTCCCCTCTTTCTCTTAAATCACATGACTTCAGGTAAAGAATTCACCCTTTGTCATAAAATGTTGGCTGTATTGGATATGAGATATTTAAGAAACTAGAAAGGAATTTAAGTGATTGTCCAGTTCAACTATTGTAATAGGTGAGGATACTGTGATTCATAGAGATGAAGAAGTTTCTCAAAATTAATGAGAATAATAATTTCCTATAATTATGTCAGTCATTAGATTTAAAATGTTAAAAACAGTATATAGCACATAGAAGATAGTGATACATATTAGCAAGTAGTAGTAGTAGTAAGATCTGTAGTAAAATGATAGTAGTAGTAGTGGTGGTATTATTATATCTTAATAAATGTTAAATTTATTAAATACTACTACTTTAGAATAAGTTTGATTGCATTTACCAGACAACAGATCTGATAGCAATTATAAAGACAGACCTGGAGAGACTATGAGAAGTTAGAAAAGAGAACTCAGTAGATCCCTAAAAATAAGAAGCCAATTTTACTATATGTAGTAGATTTTCATAAGTCAATCTGTGAATGTTATTGTATTTAACATGATTAGTTGGTTCCTTAGTATATAATTTTCTGTACTAAAGAAATGTGTTTTTATGATGTTAATCATAATAATGTATTTTGATTACTAAATACTAGAAAAAAAATTCTCCAAAGTTTACAAAGATAATTTAGCCTTTGCTTAATAGTATGTAAAGCCTTTGGCAAAATAAAAAGAAGAGGTTTAATTATTTTTAAATTAAGAAATGGGCAAAGCACCTGAATAGACACCTCTCCAAAGAGGACATACAGATGGCCAAGAGACACATGAGAAAATGCTCAATGTCGCTAATCATCAGAGAGATGCAAATTAAAACTACAATGAGGTGTCACTTCACACCTGTCATTATGGCTGCCATCAACAAATCAACAGATTACATGTGCTGGGGAGGGTGTGGAGAAAGGGGAACCCTAGTACACTGCTGGTGGGAATGCAGACTGGCGCAACCACTATGGAAAACAGTATGCAGGTTCCTCAAAAAAGTAAAAATAGAGCTGCCTTTTAACCCAGTGATTCCACTCCTAGGAATGTATCCTAAGAATCCTGAAACACCAATCAGAAAGAATACATGTACCCAGATGTTCATAGCAGCATAGTTTACAATAGCTAAGATCTGGAAACAGCCCAAATGGCCATCAGTAGATGAGTGGATAAAAAAGCTGTGGGACATATGCACCATGGAATACTACACAACTGTAAAGAAGAAGAATCTCGTGCCCTTTGGGACAGTATGGATGGACCTGGAGAATATCATGCTAAGTGAAATAAGTGAGGCAGAGAAAGACAAATATCACATGATCTCGCTTATACGTGGAATCTAAAGAACTTAATAAATTGATTAACAGAATAGATTCAATGACATGGAAGCATAAATTAGACTGATGAATGTCAGAGGGATGGAGGAGGGTGGATGAGTGGAGGGGGAGAGAGTAACCAAATAACTTATATGCATATATGTGCAGCCCAAGGACACAGACAATGATCAGGAGAGGGACTGGGGAGGGGGATGGGACGAGATGGAATGGGTCATTGGGGAGAAAAAGGGACATCTGTAATATTTTAAACAAAAATAAAATTAAAAAAAATAAATAAATGCAATGACTATTTTCCAATTTAAACTGGACCAATGATTCTTAGGCCCTAAGGGAAATAGTAAGTTTTTATTTATTCATACAAATTTCAGAATATAGTATGCTACTTCAGAATAGTATATAGTTAGGGGATTTAATTCAACTAGACTCATTCTCCCTCGTTTAGGGAGGCAAAGTCTAGGTTGTAGATTTTTCTCTTAATTTCCTTGCCTCTCCTTCCCACTCTCTAACTCTTTTACTTAATATTTGTGTTGTGATCCATTCATTGAAAAGTAAGCAAGAAGGGATAAAAGCTGAAATTTGCAATAGTACATTTGCTGCTGTTTAGGAAGAGGTGAAAAGTATTGGCTAAAGTGAAGTTTTTAATTTTCTCTCATTTTAATATGAACTAGTCTCATTATCTATACTTGTAGGTAATCAAATATCTACCTACCCATAGTTGGAAAGTTAGTTCTATTTGTGAACAATATTGCTCCACTCTCCCTTTTGTCTCCATCCTTACTTATGCTACCCTAATTCAGTTCTCATCATTACCTGGATGACAGAAATCTCCTTCTACATAGTTTCCTTGTTTCTAGCTTTACTCCAAGCCTCCTCTAACCTATTCCCAACACTGAAGTACTCTATATAACTGAAATCAGACCAGATTATCCCTCTGCTTATCTTTTAATGCCTTGCATCACCTATAGGACAATATCTAAAATAATCTTTTACATGGGTAAAAATGTCCTTCATAATTTAGCTTCTACCTCCATGTTTCTGAATCATCTCCCAATATTCACTTCATGAAACTCAAATCCAATGTAATAACAAATTATATATGCCCATGTATGAGACTTCTTGCTTCCATGTCTATGATCAATGATACCTCTGTCTAGAGTGTCAAAATAACTCCGAAACACCGTTTCTAAGCTTACTGATTCTTCAAGATTCAGGTTCAGATGTGAGCATCGGGAAGCCTTCCTCAAACATCTACCGACTCGCCACCACCAAGCTGAACTAACTACCCCTTCTGTATATAACCATATGTAATGTACACCATTGCTCTTGCTACTGTGTCTTGAAATTAGCTGGTTGGTAGTGCTAGCCCTCTAAAATGTAAATCTCTCAAGGACAGGAACTAAGTTTTATTTATCTTATAACCCTAGAATCTAGCACTGTTCTTGGCAAAAAGTAAACATTTCATATATAAGGATTCTTTAGATTATTTACATACAAGTGTATTTAATAAAGTTGTACAGGAAACTAAGAATATTCATGTTTCCAAACCTGCAACTGGACTGAAATGCAGATCTAGTTCATTATTTTTATTATGAGAAATAGACTAAATATCTTACCTTGTGGATTACACACAGTCTTTGATTCTTAGCTTGTAGTTTGTTTTTCATTTCCAAAATATTACTATTAAAAATATCACCAACACAATATTCAGTCCATAACTGATCTTGTTAAACTTACTTCTGCTTTGAAGCTCAACTGTGAGTTGTCTTTCAATGCTTTCTCTAATTTCTCTTTCTCTATAGAGCTCCATTCGCAGTTCCTTTTTTTCTTGTTGAATCTGCTTCTCTTGGATGCGAGCATTATCCAAAGCCACTTTCAGTAGACCCTGTCAAAGTACAGCAAATGGAATGCGGTTCATTTATATGTTTTAGTTCTCAAATATTACATAATTTAGGTAGGTGCTAATGTCTTGTATTACATTTATTTTGTTTATATAAATATTGTTGACCTGAATGTTGGTCAACAGATTTTCCACAGAAGACAGACTATCAGCATAAATGAATGGTCCAGGGAATCCAGGAGGCAATGCCTGCCCAGGAGTCAGTTGGATCTTGTCCAATGGTAACTTCATCATTGGGATTTGAACTGGTACTTCTTCTGTAAAAAACAAAATTAGCATCAGAAGATTCACAAATTAACATCTCAAAATGTTCATTGTTTCATTCACCTCTAATGGCATCTATAAAGATTTTGTTTCTAAAACTAAGTGATAAAAGCTCCTAATTGGAAGTTTATTCCCCAGCACCCTCTAATTTCTCAAAATAAATGTTTCAGAAAAGAATCATTGAAAATAAAACATTTACTGCTAAAGAGTAATGAAATTTGGAGGAACAAACTTAAGATATGTTTATTAATAACTATAAATTAAATAATCAGATAATTTCCTGGTAGACTTTAAACTGCTTTTTAATTTTTTCTCTTCAAATCTATCTTTCATCTATCTATCTTTGTTCATTTTAACAACCTTATTGAGAGGTAATTTACATACAATAAAATTCACTTATTTTAAATGTATGCTTCAATGACTTAGTAAATTTACAGAGTTGTGCAACCATCACCACAAATCTATTTTAGAACATCTCAATCAACCCCCAAAATACCCCTCATGCTCATTTATTGATAATCTCCTTTTCAACTCCTGACCCCTAGCAAACACTAATCTACTTTATGTCTCTATAGAATTACCTTATCTGGATATTTTCCATAAAATATCATATAATGCATGGTCTCTGTAGATGGCTTCTTGCACCTAGCATATTTTGTGTTTGTTTGTTTTTTTTAAACTGGGTGAAAAAGTGAAGGGATTGAGAAGTACAGATTGGTAGTTACAAAATAGTCAAAGGGATGTAAAGTGTAGCATAATGTTTTTGAGGTTCATCCATGTTGTAGCATGAATCACTGATTTCTCCTTTATTGCTGAAAAGTATTCCATTGCATGGATATATTGCTTTTAGTTTAATCATTAACTAGTTGATGGACATTTGGCTAGACTCTAGTGTTACCTTTTATTTTGAATAATATTCCTGATGAAAAAAAATAATGTTTTGTAAAATCACATTGTATCACTTTTCCCTTTTTATTTGTTATTATCGCCTCCTACATCCTCTTTATTTTAATGAGATATTCCCTTAGTCTCAGATAAAGAGACACAAATAGAATTTTTTTCTAATAACATGCATCAAACTGATTTTGGATAGATATATCTAATTATGAAAAGAATATTCTCTTATTTTGAGAAACCAACTACTTATCTATCCACTTGAATTCTGGTTGAAAATATTTTATGTGCGATGTATGAACCAGGTAGTAAAGTTTCCTCTGCAATTAGGAATTGGGCTTTTTTGGCATGTGTAAAAGGAAACTGATAAAAAGAGGCACTCTTAAAATGAAAACAGACAAACCCTGGTATTCTCAAATAGCTTCAACAACACAGCATGATGGGGAGAATAATATAAGCTCAAACAGAATTACTCTACTCATCACAGTCTCTTTATTTCAGAAACTGGGCATAAGCAAAGTTTGAAAAATATACTTATCTGGTCAGAAAAATTTTCAGTGACTCCACATGTTATGAGACTAATACAAGAAAAAACCCACACACACAAAACAAAAACAAAAACAAAAACTAGGCTTGAATCTAGACCTAACCAATTTTCACAGGGTTTTGAAACACAAATCTAGCTATTGGTTCTGGTTCCTGTAAGGAATATGAATTTGTCATACAGTTAGACCTCATTTTTATTTGCAAGCATTCTATATATGCAGTGTGCAGAGTCTTGATTTCACAGTCAACATGGTTTGTTGTGCGATTTCTTGTGTGGGGAGCTGTGGCATAGAATTGTGGGAACCTTCTGTGAGATGGGATAGCATTATCTCTGAATATAATGCTCTTAATATAGATGACCTTTATAATTTTCAATTTTCCAAAACCTATAGGAATAAAAATGCTCAGCAACTACATTTAGAGAATCAAAATTATTTTCACTAAGGCTTCACATTCTTGAAATCCAAAATGTTATAAAGAATATTTGTTTATCTTTTCAAAATAATTCTGTTAAATGCATAAATTAACTTTTTAATGCATAAGTTAACTTGTTAAAAATGAACATATTCTTAAAAATGTTTTTCTAGTAAATCTTAAAAACAATATTTTGATGTATTATAGAATTGTATACCTAAAACCTATATCATTTTATTAACAATGCCACCCCAATAAATTCAATTTTTAAAAGCTGATGTTTAAAATAATAATAATAATATTTTAATCACAAATGTATGATGCATGTGTTTTCTACAACCCTCTTGTAATATTAACCCTAACATTTTACAGAGCATTTATTCCTCCCTTCTTCTCTGTCCTTTCCTCTCCTTCCCTCTTTCTGGTTTTTCATTTCTTTCTTTTCTTTTCTTTCTTTTTCTTCTCTCTTCCCCTCCCTACTCT